CCCAAAATAAATAAATAAATAAATTCTTTGGAAGTGTCAGAAAACCGTAATCTCTGACCAGCGAGGGCGCCACGGAAAGGCATATGGGACACTGGCACTTTTCTGCCCAGGGTCCTGTAGAAAGAGTTTTTAAAAAAGAGGAAAAAAAAGTGATAGCACAGTGGGTAGGGCGTTTGCCTTGCACGTGGCCGACCCGGGTTCGATTCCCAGCATCACATATGGTCCCCTGAGCACTGCTAGGAGTAATTCCTAAGTGCAGAGCCAGGAGTAACCCCTGAGTATCGCCAGGTGTGACCCAAAAAGAAAAAGAAAAGAGAAAAAAAAACCCAGATAGATAAAAGTGCCAGTCCCCGGGGCTTCTGGAGACCCCTTCCTCCTGGCGGGAATGCCAGCCCAGCCCCAGCAGGCAAGGGGCAGGGTGCCCGTGTCGGACCTCTCAGCTGCGGAGAGCAGGGGCAAGGCCAGAGGGAGGCGTGAACCAGAGGGAGGGTCTTCCAGGCCAGGTGTGCCCCTAGCTGCCCTGTGGAGATGCTTTAGTTGGATGGCGCCTTTGAACTGGACCCTGTGGCCAAGAAGGGTTGTAATTCTGTGACGCCAGGGCTCTTCCTTCCATACTCAGTCAGCCTAACCCCAAGGTCTTCCCCACTGGGTAGAACGGACCCATTTAGAACTTTCTGTGGTCTTCTGAACTGGTGTGTCCCAAATTGGGCAGGTGGTGCCATGCCACCCTGCCCTGGGACTCTGGCATGATGGGGATGTACAGAGGGGCTCTAGAGATTTGGGGCCATACCCGGCAGTGCTCAGGGCTGACTCCTGGCTCTGTGCTCAGGGAGTTCTGCCGGGCTTGGAGGACCCTAGTCTGTGCCGGGGATTGAACCTGGGTCATCTGCCTGCAAGGCCAGCGCCCTCCCGGCTGTGTACTCTCCAGCCCCTAGGGGGCGCTGTCTGTTGCCCTAACGTTGGGTTGTTTTCCGAAGGGGGTTGGTCTCTGGGGGGGTCTATGGGCTTCTCCCCTGCTAAGAGTGTGGTAGGTGGGAACCTTGGTTATACGTGCTGGGAAGGGCTCCGAGGATGCGCAGAGAGAGCTAAGGGCCAAGACTGCAAAGAAATTCTCCCCACCCCCCCCACCCCCCATGGTGCAGCCTGCGGCTCCACTCTTGCTTCTGAAGTTGTTTAAACATCTTAGTCGTTGTTATTACAGGGGGAAAGCAACTGTGGCCGGGGGGTGGTGGGGGGTGGCATTTGCTCCCTGGCTGACCCTGGGCAAGGCAGGGCTACACCCCTCCCCAGAGTGTGTTTGAGCACCTGCAGGGGGTGCGCCCTGACTGTCTGGGCGTGCAGGGCTGAGCAGGTGCCTGGAGCCTTCTCTGCCGCCTCTCCTGTGTGTGCGGCCTCGATGCCCGGCTGGAGGAGTCGACCGCGGCCAGTCCGAACCGGAGCCAGACAGGTGCCACCGCGGGTGTCAGGACAGGTGCTGGCTAAAATAAGGCCCGGAGAAAGGCCAGTCGGTGACTAATAACAGGATGATAGTCTCTGTGGGGACAAAGAGCGGAGGAAATTTTCCAGCCCAGACCCGGGTCACCGGCATCTGAAACGTGGGCCCTGCTATCGCGGCCGTGTGGTCTGGGCCTGAGTCAGTCGCGGACGCTTCCCCGTGGCCGCTGGCGTCTGAGGAATTTTCCTTCCCTTTTTCCCTCCCGTCGGCGCGCCAGCCAGGGGCTGCGTCCCCCCCCCACCACACCCAGTTCCCCATGGTCACACTGTGGCTCACAATGAAAGGAACCCGAGTGGGACGTCGCGTGGGTTGGTCCTTGTCACAGCATCACCCCGGGAGGAATATAAACAGGGCGGCTGTGCGCGGAATTCCTGGAGGAACGTGTCTCACAGCCAGAGTCACCAGCGCCGCCCAAGCACTGGCCTCTCCGTGGCCAGGGGACCGGTGTCCAGTGTCCAGAGCCTGTCTGGGAAAAGCACAAATTCCCATCCCACGGAAAGGCAGGAAGCTCAGGAAGGAGCCTTGACTATGAAGGATGGGTCCGCTCCTCCGTGCCGATTTCCCCCTTCAGGAGATTCAGTCACTCGGCCTGTCCACGCAGGGCCAGAGCAGCAGGCTAGACCCCCCCCCCCAACACCCCCAGAAACCCCTCCCACACATGCATTCTAACCCAGGAGATGGGGAGGGGGGATAAGTCTCCTGGGATCGGAAGGTTGGGGGGAGGGGTCCCCGGGGGAAGGGACTTGAGGTGTGGCTTGATGTGGGGTGGGCAGGGATGGGCCTCTAGGGCAGGGGGTCATCGAGGAGCAGGCCAGAGCCAGCAAGGAGATGGAGAGCAATGTTTTATGAGTCGTTCATTGATGGACTCGTTTTGTTCTGTCCAAGGCACCCGTGATTGAAAAACTGTTCGTGATGGGGGTTCGTGCATCCAGCACTCCAACAGCCCCTCCCCCCACCAGTGTCTGAGTCCCCCAGCCCCTGCTCAGTTCTGGAGACCAGCCCTCAGGGCCCTTTGCCCAGTGGTCACTGCCCTCCTGCTCTGCTTTCCAGCCCACAGAGGACATTCCCGGGTCTGTCCCTCGGCTGCCAGCTGACGTCCTTCTGTGTCTTTCGGTGGCTGATCTTCGCCCTCTGAGTGGGGTGTCTCTGCTCGATTTTAAGCCAAGAATGACTAAGTCGTACTTTTTTTTTCTTTTTTCAGTTGAGATGACCTTGGTTTACATCATTGTATATTTTTAAGACTGACGATTCTTAAAGACACGTAATCAGCTAAGTTCAGAGGAATGGAGTGGGGGGAAAAAGGAAAAAATATAAGAAAAAAAAAAAACAACGCTTTGGTGTTGTTTTGAGAATACGTCTCTGTTCCCTTGCTCTTAATCCACCAGGGCTGGCGCCCATTCTGTCAGGGGCAGAGGGCACAGTCCCGCCAGACAGAGCTCTGGCTTCCTCTTGCAGCTGCCTGAGCTCTTGAGAGCCCCGGGGGTGAGTGAACCGGGCTTGGGACAGACCTCACCAGTCCCTCTGTCGTGGGCACACTCCCTCCCCTTCCCTGAGGTCTCCGGGGGTGGCCAGGCTGTTGGTGCCAATCGTCTGCAGCTGACAGACCCCTCTTCAGCCCCAGGATGTGGGGTCTTTGCCACAGGGGTGGCCCCAGCCCGGGCCCCACCCCCGGCCACACACAGTCGTAAGTTTTGCTCATTTCCCGCCATTGATGCGGTAGCATCTGTCAATTTTCGGTATGTCTTGACTGGGTTTAGTTTTTGGTTCAATTTGGGTTGAGAAGATTTGGCAGGTTTTTTTTTTCTTTTCTTTCTTTTTTTTTTTTTTTTAATAACACGATCAAAACATCTCTAGGGGCCAGAGAGGTAGTAGAATGGGTCCGGTGCTTGCCTGGCACACAGCTGACCCAGGCTGGATCCTGGCCCCCATATCATGCTCCGAGCAAAGGAGTAACTCCCAAGTGTAGAGCCGGGAGTAACTGTTGATCACCGCCACGTGTGACCCCCAAATCAAACAAATCAAAATATCCCAAGAGAACAGAAATGCATAAGAAGCCAGGAGGGGCCAGGCATGTTCCTCTGGGGGAGGGAGGTCACTTCTGGCCTTTTTCTCATGGGAAAGGGGTGGTTCTCCGTGCCGGGCAGGAAGGGAAGGCGAGAGGGCATGACCACCCCAGGGTCTGAGGATCAAAGTGGGTATTTGGAGCCGGGGCTGTCCCCAGCCCACAACTGGACCCTGGTATCTGGCGACCCCTGCCCCAGCACGCACACACACACACACACACACACACACACACACACACACACCCAGCCATAGACAGGGATGCAGCTATGATGGCTGGGCAGAATTTTGGGGCAGCAGAAGAGGACACGTGGCTGAGAGTCTCTGTTCCCCAGAGGGCAACGAGAGGGACACTGGGTCCAGGTGCCACACCTCATCACCGGGGTTGGGGGGGGAGCAGTCCAGACCGATGTGTGCCGGGCAGGGACCCCTTGCTGGGCCTGGGGTGTGCCAGTTGGAGCGAGCAGAAGACTTGTGGGGCGCTAGAGTGAGGAGAGAGATGCCGGGTGACGGCCGAGGACCACCACGTTGTCAGGGAGCCCACGGAAGGCCGGGGCCAGGTGGAGTGGTGTTGGGTCAGCAGGGGATTGGGGGCCAGGGACACGGTGCTGGCAGGCCGCCTCTGACTTGGTCCAGATGAATCCAGTTGAGTTTCCCAGCAAAGATGAAGGGATAGGAGGACAGCTGGAGGGGGCAGGGGGCATCTGGCTTCATCTTCCCCGGAAGCCACCAAGCAAGAGGCAATAAGGCAGGGAGAGTACTTGCCCTGCACGTGACCGGGGGCGGGTTCCCCCCAGCATCACCAGGAGTGTTCCCTGAGCTCAGAGCCAGGAGTAAGCCATGAGCATCGCCAGGTGTGGCCAAAAACTAAAAAGAACAGAGGGTGGGGAAACAAAGAGCCAGGAAACCAGAAACCCCCCTAGCAGCATCCGAGTTTAAGCCGGAGGAGGGAGTTTGCGGGAGGGAAAGGTAGGGCCTGCGTGTCTGCCTTTGGCCTGGGCTGGTCTTGCCCATGCGCGTGACTCCGTGCGTTTGTTCATTTGTTTGTTGGGCCAGAGAGGTGAAACTGGCGGGGAGGAAGTGTGACCCTGGCGCTCTCGCGGACGCTTTTCCCCACCGCACCTGACGTTTCAACCACAGTCGCTGAAAAACGCTGGTGGTGAGAGTTTCACTGGCCAAGGATGCAGGTTGTTGTTTTTTTTGTTTTGGTTTGGTTTTTTTTTGTTTTGTTTTGTTTTGTTTCGGTTTTTTCACGAAATAGGCAACTCCAACTCCAAATGGTTTCAGATGGGATGCCCATATAACATTTTGGAGGTCAGCCTGTGTTTCTGAGACTTTTCCAGACAGGAACAGACTGCTCCTCAGCCGTTTTACTTCGAATGTCCCTCTGCCGTGGGCTTTGGACACTGGTGTAATTGTGATTTCTTTCCATCTGTTTGCACAGCCTGGCGCCCCTGTTCGCTCTGTTCGTCCCGTTCTACTGCTCCATACCGAGGGTCCAGGTGGCTCAGGTGCTGGGCCCTCTGGCCATCACAAACAAGACCTTGATTTATATATTGGGACTGCAGGTACGGTATGCATTTTTATCATCACTGTTTCTAACTAAAATCTATTCTCTCTCTCTCTCTCTCTCTCTCTCTCTCTCTCTCTCTCTCTCTTAATTGGGGGGAGGGTTTGTCTCTTTTGATCTCCTTGAAAACTGTTTTTTCCCATAAGTTTGGCTTCTTGATCGCTATCAGATGTTCAAAGGAAGTGTTACCAAACCAGAACATCAAGGTAAAGAAGCCTTTCGAAATCTGATAAGAGCTTTCACTGTAATTTGTATCAGTGGAAAATATTTTAAATTTTATCATACAGTAGCGTGTGAGTACTTTTTTTTAAAAAAAAAAAGAAAGCATCACAGTGTGAAGTGGAAACAAGTGAGAAGCAAACTCAGAGAGCAGAAAACGGTCGTGAGCATGGGTGTCCTGAAGCCGGGTCCCCAAGCACGAGCTCCGAGAGGAAATGCCAGCTCTGCCATCCAGCCCGCACGCCGGCGCTTTCTAGAAGGCCCTCATCCCCTTGCCACCCCCCTGCCGCCCGCTCTCCCGGGCCTGTCCCCAGTCGCCCTGTGGAGGGTCGTGCCGGTGGCCAAGTGCTCGGGCCGACTCTGTGTGAGGCTTACGCCTCGAGAGTGGCGCCTCCCCCGCAGTCAGTGGGCACTGTCTGAGGCCCACCCGGAGAGAGACCCTCTTGGCGGTCTCCGTTTCCTCTGTCCGACGCTGGTCACCCTGCGTCCTCCCCCCGCCGTGGCTCTGACATGGCTGCTTCCTGCTGAGTGCCTGAAGCCTGGCCTTTTGCTCCACGGCCAGTGTTCTCAGCATCCCTTGTCCCACACGCCCCCGCCGCCGGATGCCGGCGTCCCCGCCAGGTGCCCCCCACTCCCCCTTCTAACCCTCGGCGTTTCCTCTCTTCCTCCTCTCTTCCGTGCGCTGCCGTGGTGCCTTATCAGCAGCCCATCGGGCGCGGGCGTTCTCCCCTCGCGCTCAGGCTCTAACCGGTGCTCATGAGTGGGGCTTGGCCCGCACGCGCCTCCCGCACCTTCCTCCTCCCGGGAGCCCGAAAGCCTCCCTGCAGTTCCCCTTTCAGAAAACAGCATGCCCGAGTGGGGTGGGGGCCGCGGCCCCAAGTCCTGCTCAGGCCAGCCCCCACAGCGGCGGGCTGGCTGGGGGAAGCGCTTGGGGTCCAGCTGCCGCCCTGGGGACCGTTTGCCCTTATTGTTGCCTCTGCCTGGGCTCGGCAGTGCCAAGTGTCAGCTCAGGGTCTGAGCCCGAGAGCCCGGCACGACCGAGCGAGCTGTGCAGCAGCCAACACCGCGGGTCGCACTGAGCCTGGAGTGTGTGTGTGAGTGTGTGTCTAAGACTATGTGAGAGTGCATGTGTGTCTGCGTGTGTCTAAAAGTGTATATGTGGTTTGTGTGTGTATACATGTGTGAGAGTGTGTATATGAGAGTGTGTATGAAAGTGTGTGTATGTGTGTGAGAGTGTGTTTTTGAGTATATGTGTGTGTCTAAGAGTGTATATGTGAGTGTGTGTATGAGACTGTGTGAAAGTGTATATGTGAGTGTGAGTGTGTGTGTCTGAGTGTATGTGTTTGTTTAAGAGTATATGTGTGAGAGTGTCTGAGTGTGTATGAGAGTGTGTGTGTGACTGAGTGTGTGTGTGTGAGAGCGTGTGTATGAGTGTGTATATGAGAGTGTGTGTATGACTGTGAGTGTGTGTGTATGACAGTGTGTGTGTTACTGTGTTTGTGTATGAGACTGTGTGTGTATGAGAGTGTGTATGTATGAGAGTGTGTATGTATGAGTGTGTGTGAGTTTGTGTGACTGAGTGTGTGTATATGAGACTCTGTGTGTGGGGGGGGTAGATGATGATATCAAAGAGCAGAGCTGGAGACGCCCAGTGGATTTCCTATTAGACTGAAGAAGCATCCAGAGTTGTTCTCGCCCGCCTTGGCGTGGGTGTGAGCGACCCCCTTTCTCTCCAAGTCTCACACGCACAGCCCTGCACCTGTCAACCCCCCAGGTGGTGGCTTCTTGAGAGGCATTTGCTGTGCAGGTGTGTGAATGAACAACACTCATCACTGTCGGGAGAGACCAAGCATCGGCGTCCTGCTGGGGCCGTGGGAGATACGGCGAAGTGGAGCCACGCCCTGTGGGTCCACAGGAATCAGTCTCCACCTGCACTGCAGTGATGCCCACAGTGGCCGGGGGCAGGAGCTGGCCAGACCCCCCGCCCCCCACCTCCAGGTGCCCTCTGGGTCTCCTCCTGTTCTGGTCCATTGAGCCCTTCGTCTTAGGATGCTCGGAGGGGAGCCGGGGATTTCTCGTGTATGAAAAACTCTTGAAGACTGGGAGCCTGGCCCATGTAGGTGCCAGGAGAGTGTCCACCTCAGCCTAGTCTTCGAAGACGGCGGCAGAACATCCCGCCTTCCCGGTCACCAGCCGAGCACGCGTGCCTGAGCCAGGGCCGAGCAATGACAGCCGAACGTCAGGGCTGCAGCTGAGGCTGTGAAGTGGCCCCACGCGGCCCCTCCCCCCCCTTGCCTCCTCTGCTGGACCAGCAGGAACTGGACCCAAGCCCAGCCTTCCTGCTCTGCTTCCCACGCCGGGGTCCATGCTGGGCACCCGGCACCAGCCTACGCCTGCAGGAGCTCTAGGGGCGGCTCCTGGCCTGGTGAAAAGCCCCGAGGGGGTGCCCAGACGTCATCGGTGACTGGGAAACTGGAGAGGTTCCCCGAGCCCCATCCCTCCCTCTCCTGCTTGGGTGCTTGGTTGAAGGGAAGGAGAAGGCAGCGGTGGTGAAGATACAGGGACGGCGGCACCGGCTGCCGCGGCGTCAGCTCTGGCCATTCCCAAGGTGGCGTTCTTGCCTGCTCCGACGGGGAGTGCCCACTGACGGAGGAGTCAGCCTGGCCCCTGGCGGTCATGCGAGAGGCTGAGATCTCAGGTCAGAAAGAAACAGAAACAAAGACAGACAGACAAACGGAGACCTTCTTCTCTTTCCAAGAACGGAATTGGTGTGTTATTGTTTTCGGTGTGCCTTGTGGTGACGTGGCGTGGATGTTGTGATGCTGAGGCTGAGTGGGCATAACTATAGCTGAATTTCATTTTTAGTTGCCTAATTTTTTTTTCTCTCTTTCCCTTACAGCTTTTCACCTCTGGTTCCTACATCTGGATTGTAGCCATAAGTGGACTTGTAAGTGTGACTTCCCCGCCCCCGTTCCCTCTCGGGGGAAAATTGGGGGAGAGCGTCTGGGTAGCTGAAGGGCCCCTCTGGCTGGGTTCTGGCCCAAAAACCCTTCCTTGGGCTGGGAAGAGGAGCTGAGAGGAAGAGGGAGCCACTTCGTCTCTACGTTCCAGAAAATTGGGGAGGGCCACACCCGGCCATGCTCACTCCTGGCCCTGTGCGCAGGAATCGGGGACCCCGTGGGATGCTGGCATCGAACCTGGGTCAGCCGCGTGCAAGGCCAGCAGGGCCCTCCCCACTGTCCCATCGCTCTAGCCTCGTGCCAGGAAAATGTTGACCAAAGTCTTTTCTGACCCGGGGTGTTGTTGGTGTCAGGGTTGTCTTTAAATTCTATTCGTAGCTTCTGCCCTGTCCCCAGAAGAGGAGGGAAAAAATAAGTAATAGCAGAAAAAGAAAATGCAGAAGTCGGGCTTAACTAAAAATAGGGTGAGGTTCTTTTCTGCTTGTGTTTTGTGACGAGACCTCGTCATTCGAGGAAAAAAATCAGGCCGAGTGGGAAGTCCGGGGGTGAGGGTTGGCGGGCGGTTTTTAGCCTTCTCGGTGGAGAGGCGGGATGCTGTGGGGTGGGATCAGGGGACCTGGGTGGAAGGCAGAGGTGTGGGGAGGTCCCGTACCCCTCCAGGTCCGTCCTGTGACTGTCAGATGGTCACAGAGCCTCAGTGGTCTGTACTGCGGCTTGTCTGCCCCTGCTCCTCACACGGGCACCCAGGGCCAGGCGCAGGGCTCACACCACCCGCCCTCGGGCTCTCACGGCTGCGTTATTACCTTAGCAGGGACCCTTGACTCCTTGATCTAGGCAGCAAAAATGCGCTGGGAGGGGGGCTGGAAGGACAGAACATCAGGAAGGCGCTTGCCCTGCCTGTTCTGTTCTCAGCATCCCAAGGGGTGCCCCGAGCCCCACCAGGAGCGATTCCTGTGCGTAGAACCGGGAGCAAGCCCCGAGCACCACCGGGTGTGGACGGCCCCAAAAAGGGAAAAAGAAGAATCACCAGGTGCCGAAGGGCTGCTTCTCTCACCACCTCCTTGCCTACAATCACGGCTGCAGGGACCTTTGTGCTTCAGTACCCCGTTGGCTTTTGCGTGCTGGGTTCAGAATCTGCACGTTTGAGTGGGTGCGGGCTGCCACCACCCGAGTTGCGTTTGGTGCCTGCACTGCTGTTCCGCTCCACCTGTTGTCTTTATCGGCATCCTCCCCTCCCCCTCCCCCTCCCCTACCACTCCCCCTCCCCTTTCCCCTCCCCCTCCCGCTCCTCCCTCTTCTTCCCCTCCTCCTCCTCCCCTTCCTCCTCTACCTTCCCCTTCCCCTCCTCCCCCTTCTCCCTTCACCCCTTCCTCTCCCCCTCCTCTCTCTTTCCTCCTCCCCCTCCTCCCTCTTTCCTCCTCCTCCCCTCCTCCTCGCCTTCCTCCTCCCTCCTCCCCCCCCCACCCCAGCACCCCATCCTTGTTCCATGAACGCCTGTCCCGGTGGTGCCCGCTCTGCCCTTCAGAACCTCTCCCCCGTTGGTTGCTGTCAGTCACCCCGGCTTGTAGCGGTGGTCACAGGGCTGGGGGGGGGGGGGCGTAAGCCAAGAGCGAGGCTGCGTTGGTGCCACCCCACAAACCTTGGTGCTTGTTTTGAACCTGGTGGGTATTTTCTTTCTCACTTTGTTCCAGAGGGTTATTTTTATTTCTTTCCTTCCTTGTCGGGAGCTTCCCAAGCTTCGCTCCGGGGATGAGGGGCGGGAGTGGGGTGCTGGTGAGGGGCCCCCGGCGACAGCGACACAGCACAGCAGTGGCCCCTGGCAGAGGTGCCCCCAGCGCGCCGAGCACTTTGCCACGTGTGGTGACTCTCGGGTGGGCTGTGCTGGGCTCCGAGGGGGCTCACAGACGTGTGAGCTCGCTCTTCCCTGCCCTTCCCCAGCTCCCAAGGATCAGATCCCCCTTTTTATTTTTTCTGGGGGCTTTTGATGTTAAAAAAAAAAACAGAGAGGGAAGCACAGCCTTGTAGGAAGGACAGCGCTGGCTGCGGCTGGGCTTCACCCCGCCACGTTGACATTTATCTCGTGGGGATGGGGGAGGGTGTTTGAGGAAGTTATTTTATCTTTCATGTTTTTAAGACAAAGTTTCTTTAAAAAAAAAAACACATTTAAAAAGGCCTTAGAGGGAGGCCCCATAGCTGCCCTGGCCAGGACCCTCCCCCACCATGGGCTGCTCCCCAGGGCTCCTTCCCAGGCTCTCTGCCTTTCCTACCCCCCCCCCTCCACCCACTGCTGTAGCAGGAGGCCTTGAGCAGCGCCTTTTGCAGAGGGTGACCCTGTTTCTGCTCTGGCACTGAGATGGGGGGCCAGGCTTGGAGGAGAGAGGGCACTGAGGTGGGGGGCCAGGGTGGGAGGAGAGAGGTCCGGCCTGCTGGGGTCCCTGTCGCCCTGCCATCCCCCAGCCAACCCCGGAGTGGGAAAACACTCCGCCGTGCTCACAGACGATTTGGCGCTGTTGTGGGGACAGTCCCTTGGCAAGTCCCTCGGAATTGACAGGGACCGGAGGATGGGTGCCCGGAAGCTAAGGCCATACTTGGGGAGCCGGAGAGAGGGCACAGCCAGGGGGGCACTGGCTTCGAATGGGGCCAACCCCAGGCCAATCCCCAGCACCACGTTTGGTCCCCCAGGTACCACCACACGTGATCCCTGAGCTCAGAACCAGAAGTCAGTCCTGAGGACTGCAGGGGATGGAATTCACCCCCCAAAAAAATTTTTTTTAACTTTTTGGGTTACACCCTGCAATGCTCAGGGGTTACTCCTGGCTCTGCACTCAGGAATCACTCCTGGTGGTACCCAGGAGATGATATGGGATGCCGGGGATCAAACCCGGGTTGGCCACATGCAAGGCAAATGCCCTACCTGCTGTACTATCGCTCCAGCCCCCCCCAAATTTTTTTTTTTAAAAGAAGATGATGGTGATGTTACAGGGAGATGTAGAGATAGCCTGTGCTTGGGGGTTGGAAGGATCAGCATCGTTAAAATGACCAGTCTGTGGGCTGGAGCAATAGCACAGAGGGTAGGGCATTTGCCTTGCACCCGGCCGACCCGGGTTTGATTCCCAGCATCCCATATGGTCCCCCGGACACCACCAGGAGTGATTCCTGAGTGCAAAACCAGGAGTAACCCCTTAGCATTGCTGGGTGAGACCCAAAAAAGAAAAAAAAATGACCGGCCTGTCCTACATCAAAACCTGATGCAGAGCCAATGCAAGCCCTGTCGTCAGATTTCCAGGGGCATTCTCGGGGCAGTAGAATAAGTACCATGGAAATGTGGGCAGCGCTGCTGAAGACGGCATCGGGGGAGGATGCGGGCGGTGGCGTGTTCTCTGACATGAAACCACGGCACAGAACTGCTGTACTGAGACCAGGGTGGTGGGATGGGGTAGGAATGAGAGCTGCATCAGACCAGCGGATCGAGATGAGATTCCAGAAATCTGCTCCCTCAAAGATGAGTCGCGACCCAGGAGCCAAGAGCATGCAGTGGAGGACAAAACGGTTTCTCCTGCCTCTAGGGGACACTGGGGTGCCACGTGCCGAAGAACAGAGCTGTGTGTCACCCCTCAGCAAGAGCTGATCCGAAGCTAACCACACCCTGGGCATGAGCTCCATCACCGTGGAGAGAACACAGGTGAAGCACCCAGGACTCGGCAGCGTCTGCAGTGATTTGCTGGCATTGATGATGGAAACAAAAATACATGAAGCGGGCCGCATCACACCAGAATCCTGCCCTTTGCGAGCGGGGAATTGCCAAAATGACAAAGGCAGTGGCCTACAGAGTGGGGGAGATGCTGACACGGCAGCCCTCTGCCAGGGAACGGCACGAGCTGCGTAGAACACGCACAGAACTCAGCCACGTCAGAGCAAACCACCCTGCAGGAGAGAGGAGAGCGCTTAAGAGATCCCTCGGGAAGAAGACACAGAGACAGGCCACGGGGGACAAAGCCGGAATGACACGAGCTCTCCTGCCACCCCACTGACAATGGCCTGTACCGCTGTGGCTAGAACAGACAAGTGCAGGTAGGGGTGTGGGTGGAGAGAAGTAGCCGCGAGGGGAGCGTGGGAAACTTTATGCAGATTTCTCTTTTAAATAAAATAAATCTCGGGGCTGGGGCAATGGGGCAGTAGAGAGGGGGTTTGCCTTGCACACGACCGACCCAGGTGCCATCCCTGGTGCCCCATATGGTCCCCCGAGCCCCACTGGGAGGAATTCCTGAGTGCAGAGGCAGGAGTAGCCCAAAGAGCCAAAATAAAGAAATAAGCTGTGAGGGGCTGGAGCAGTAGCGGGTAGAGTGTTTACCTTGCACGCAGCCGACCCGGCTTTGATTCCCAGCATCCCATATGGTCCCCCAGCACCACCAGGAGTAATTCTGGAGTGCAGAGCCAGGAGTAGCCCCTGTGCATCACTGGGTATGACCCAAAAAAAGGAAGGGAAAAAAATAAAAGAACCCTCGAGCTCCCTCTTGGGTGTGGGTTCGAGGAGCCTTTGACAGGCTCTTCCCTCAGCCCTCCTGCAGGCCTGACTCGGAGCCCAGACCCTGGACAGGCAGGAGGACATGCCACTGTGCAGGAGATGTGGGGGGATGGACAATGGGCCCTCACCCCCGCGCCTCCCCTGGAGGGCCTGGAGGGCTGCGCTGGGCATTATGCACCCGAGGACAAAGATAACCCAGCTGGCTGGTCTCACTGGAGGGGCAGGCGGCTGGGAGGGGAAGAGACGGGATGAGGACGAGCCCTGGCCACAGACTCGAGGGGACCCTGCGTGGGGGCACAGGGAGAGCTCATTTCCCAGAGGGAGATGGAGGCATTTGCTATTGGTGATGGGAGCAGCATGGCCTGTCCCCGAAATGTCACCGTCTGCATTTGGGTAGACCAGTGGCCTCACAGCTCAGGGGAAAAATCATTGAAGGCCTGAAGGTCCAGAATGATAGCACAG